TTGGAGATTGCCGGACACATAGACATGTTGGGTAAAGATAGCTACATACTGAAACCTCACAGATGGATTGGCTTTTGAGTTTGCCAGACACATAGACGCGCTGAGTGGGGATAGCTCCATACGAAAACCTCACGAGTTGAGTGATGTTGGATAGTGCCGGACACATAGACGCGTTGAGTAAGGATAGCTGTATACTGAAACCTCACGAGTTGAGTGATGTTGGATAGTGCCGGACACATAGACGCGTTGAGTAAGGATAGCTGTATACTGAAACCTCACGAGTTGAGTGATGTTGGATAGTGCCGGACACATAGACGCTTTGAGCGAGGAAAGACACATACTGAAACCTAACGGGGTGATTTGCATTGGAGATTGCCTGACACCTAGACGTGTTGAGTGGGGATAGCTGCATACTGAAACCTCACAGATGGATTGGTTTTTGAGTTTGCCAGACACAGCGACGCGCTGCGTGGGGATAGCTGTATACTGAAACCTCACGAGTTGAGTGATGTTGGATAGTGCCGGACACATAGACGCTTTGAGCGAGGAAAGACACATACTGAAACCTAACGGGGTGATTTGCATTGGAGATTGCCTGACACCTAGACGTGTTGAGTGGGGATAGCTGCATACTGAAACCTCACAGATGGATTGGTTTTTGAGTTTGCCAGACACAGCGACGCGCTGCGTGGGGATAGCTGTATACTGAAACCTCACGAGTTGAGTGATGTTGGATAGTGCCGGACACATAGACGCTTTGAGCGAGGAAAGACACATACTGAAACCTAACGGGGTGATTTGCATTGGAGATTGCCTGACACCTAGACGTGTTGAGTGGGGATAGCTGCATACTGAAACCTCACAGATGGATTGGTTTTTGAGTTTGCCAGACACAGCGACGCGCTGCGTGGGGATAGCTGTATACTGAAACCTCACGAGTTGAGTGATGTTGGATAGTGCCAGGCACATAGACGCCTTGAGTGAGGATAGACACGTACTGAGACCTAACGGGTTGAGTGACGTTTGCGACTGCCGGACACATAGANGCTGCCTCCCCCAGAGGATGAGGAGGAGGGTACAGTCCAAAGGAAGCACAAGCTTACCTAAGGTTAATGCCTATTGGTACGGCATTAAAAGAAA